TAGCTAAGTCCGGACGTCGCGGACTCTCTCCAGTCCCCGCGCCGCCACCCTCCCGCCGTCCACTTCCCACCCGACCGCATCACTGGCTTTCCCCTTTTCTGGAAGGAAGGGATGTTGGACCGCCTGGTCTGGCGGGGTCCTCGCTCTGCTCTGCCCGGCAGGCCGCTACCGGCGCTGACGGTGCGGGCGTGCGGAGCATGACCGCCCATCGTCCTGCCGGTACTCTTTCCTACGTCCCCCATCTCCCCTCCTGGCCTGTCCTCACCCCAACCGCCCCATCTGTGCCTGTCTTCACCCTGAGCTCTCCCTCCCCACGCCGGTCCCCCCATCTCCCCGCCCTCACTCACGGCATCCCCAGCTGTCACTTTGCCCCAGAGAGGCGCTAGAAAACCTCTCTGAATCTCTCGCCTGCACAGCATGTGTGCGCTCTAGCAGAATACAATTATTATTATTATTATTATTATTATTATTATTTTGGAGAGATTTTCACTGTAGGGCGTGGCGCGTGCGCTCGCCAGACAGACAGAGAGAGACATAGAGACAGAAAGCGAGAAATCACCCCCCAGGGGGGATGGTCACGCCGCAATCCCTTCTCCTCCATTCTCCTCTCGGGATCTTGGGCACGCACGCACACGCTGAATTGTGGTCGACTACATGGGAGTCCAGTGATGTAGCCATTACGGCAACTGCTGGTCCCTAGCAGGAATACAGTTTAAATGGAGGGTCGAGCAGGATTCCCCGGGGAGTTTGAGGGGCATTAAGAAGCAGAAGACAAAGAGAGACAGGATGTGCTGTCAGGGGAAGTCAGAACTGGGAGGAGGCCGGCAGAGGGCTTCGAACCAGGAGGATTCTACTTTCTCTTACTAGCTTTGCAAGGACCTCAAGCCAGGCAAAGCCAGGCACTAAGGCAACATTTAGAAGCCATAAATGACTCTTGCAGACAGCTAGGAGAAAACTGGGACCTCAGTCCTGCAAACACATGAAAAGTGGGTGAAGGCAAATCCAGCCCCAAGAAAGGAATGCAGCCTGTCAGAGACATTTCGATCCCGCCTGGCCGTTCAGGACCCAGAGCAGTGAGCAGAGGAGTGGAGTGGAGCCGGAACCAGTTAAGTTTACCCAGACCTCTGGCCTCCAGAACTGCTGGGGATGAATTTCAGTTGCTCTGAGCCCCTGGATTTGTGGTTACTGTTACTTAGCAATAGGAAACAATATACCAGGTGAAATGCCCATGCTGGTAAAATGCCCATGCTGGTCTGCGGGTCTGGTGCAGGAAGAGGCTGGGAAGTTGGTAGAGGAGGCCTGCCCTCCAGGGTTGGAGTCTTGACCTCTGTAGGGGTGTGTCTGCTGGCCCTGGCTCCAAGTGCTTCAGAGAGCAAACTGCTGATCTTCCCTTTCCAAGGAGAGAGTGCTGAATTTGGGGTACACCCTTAAATTTCACACCTGACTAGCCCCCACACTTCTTTCAGGCTAGCCCTGGTTTCTGAACTTTTCTGCAATCCCCACACCCCATGAGCAGTGGTCGTGTATCTCAGCCAAGCCTGCTCCTGGGGGAGGTAGTTCAGAGGCAGGAGTTATGAAGCCTAGAATGTGTCTACTTTCAGTGGTTTCTTTCCAGGGCCCCCTTTAATCTCTTGTTCACAAATTCTCACAGCTTAGACTCCTTTGTCTGGCATTTAAGACCTTCTATGATACATCCCTATTCTGCTTGTAATGTCCTGAAGGATCTGCAGGTCTGCTTCCTGTCCTGGGTACAGCCTATCTCACCCCTTACTTTTACTACCTGTTATCTTCATAAGCCACACCCTCCTTGCCCTCATTCCAAATTCCACCCCAGCTGAACCTCTCCCCCACAGAAAATTCCTCTTCCTGAACTCCTGAATCGGTAAGCAGCACTCCACACCGCCATGCATAATGACTTAGGACTTGCGAGGCTTTCCGGCAGAGCTGACCCAGTGTGAGCCGGTCGGCACCATGTGGCCCTGAGTGTCAGCGGTCAGTGCCCAGTGGTGGTAAACTGGTGGCTGACTATTTTGAAATCGCCCCTGGTTTCCTGTATCTTGCTTGCCCTCCTCAATGAAACAAAGTAAAAATGCGCGGTATTGTTGCTCAAGCCGGGAGCCTGGAGCGTGGAGCGGCTGCAGTAGCAGCGCTGTTCATAGATGGTACAGGCACTGAAGGTGATTCTCCGATGTGAAGGCCCTGCATGAATGTTTGGAGGATGCAGGGACCTTGAGAAAGTTCGAGAGGAGCAAAAATGCGTGCGCGGGGTTTGCGGGTGGATGGAAGGTTTAGAGCGAACAAAATGGAAAAAGGAGCAGCAGGGGGAGCCAGGGGAAGGCCCCAGACCTGACAGAGGCAGTGGCTGGAGAGGTCTGTAAGTTTGCTTGGATCCGCCCGCTGAAACAGAACATTCCAGACGCCCCGGCCCGTCTGCGACTGTTTCTGGGTCACAAGTCTGTAGGTCTGAGTGTGGGTAGTGATTGCTCAGTAAACTGCAGGAAGGGCTGACAAGGGCTCGACTGAAAGAAAATGGAATCAGGAAGGGCAAGCAGGGGCATTTCACCACCAAGCCCTGCGGAGCTGTCTGCCCGGCCTGGCAGGCCCCGCCCACCCTGCCACCGGCTCCGCCCCCTGCCTATTCCTTCTCTGCCAGGACTCCCAACCACAGCTCTTGGTCCGGGAGGAAGACAGCATGCCCCGTGGGAGATGATTAGGCAGCAGTCCCTTCTCCTCCATTTCTCCTCCTGTTGGGATTTTGGGCACATACGCATCAAATTTAACTATCAGCCCATGGAGCTTGTGGGGGTCCTCAATAATTACAGTAGAATTTTAAAAACATAATTATTCATTTAATTTTATTTATTCTTCAATTTGACAAGAGAGAAAAAGAGAGAGAGAAAGCAAGCTACCAAGTCTAGGACTCAAACCGTGGTCGGCCACGTGGGAATCCAGTGCCTTACCCACTATGCCAACTGCCAACCCCAGTTTTTTAAAAAAATTTACGATAAGGCACATGTACCCACTTGGGGTGGGGAAGAGAAGTGAGAACTCACTCTCTGGGGGAGATGTCCACACTCAATCACCATCATTTTGTCCTCTCAGGATTTTGGGCCCACATGCCCGCTGTGTTTCTCAAGCTGCTGTTATCACACCACTGCCTCATCCATCACACCACCGGCTAGCCTGGTCCTTGATGATTCTTAAGAGAAGAAGGGGGGGGACCAGCAGTTAGCATAATGGCTATGTTGCTGAACTCCCATGTAGTTGACCATGGTTCGGGCCTCGGACCCAGTAGATTAAACTCACGTGCCTTATAGCAAAAACCTTCCAAAAAAATAAAAAAATAAAACACACACACACACAAAGAGTAGAAGGGGGACCCAGCAGGTGGTGTGGTGGTTAAGGCGCTGGACATTCTCAAATAGCCAACCATGGTTTGAGGCCTGGACCTGGTGGCTTGTTTTTTCACTCTCTCTCTGGTGAAATTAAAAGACAAAACACAATTAAATAAATTATTTAAAAAAAAAAAAAAAGAAGAGTAGAAGGGTTCTGTAGAACAAAGCTTTAAGAACTGTTGGTCCAGCGTGGCAGCAGTGGGGATGCGCTGTTCGCTGGCTGGGAAGATAACTAGGAAGTGGACCTCTACTGGACCTCCTAGTCGTTGGGAAGTGGAAACAGAAAGATGAGGTTTAGGGTGCCCTCTGGGTTTCTGGGGGCCCAGGTGTGGTGGGGAAGAGGATGTGGCAGTTTGGTAGTTGGGGACAGCAGTAGGGCACCCTGGTGTTAGGGCCCAGCACCTGCAGGGAGGTGTGGAGTGGGAGTTGTTTGACTCATGGGTTCCCACTCTCCAGTGGGCTGTGAGCTCGCGGGGTCGGGTGTGTGCTTGTTACCTCGGTATGCATGCACACGAGCTGTAAAAAATGCCCGGACATGGGTGGCTCTGGGTGGCACTTCCTATTCCAGTGACAATAACCGCCTTTTCAGGTGCTCTTGGTCCCGCAGCCAGCAAGGCCACACTGAGACAGGCAAGAGCAAGAAGCTGGTGGTGGTGGTGGGGGGGCAGCCAGATGCCAACAGGTGACACTAGTGGCATGGGAGACCCACTCACATCGAAGGACACTAATGACCAGGGGCAAACTGCTCCTTGTACGGGCCTGAAAAAGCTCCTTATACAATTTTTAAAAAGAATTATTTTATTTAATTCCATTTGTCATTACTCTTTTAAAATGTGATCAGAGAGAGGGAGAGAGAAAGAGAAAGTGAGAAAGCAAGCCACCAGGTCTGGGACTTGAACCATGGATGACCATGTGGGAGTCCAGCACCTTAATCACCATATCACCTGCTAGCCCCAGAAAATAATTCTTTCTTGTCAGTCTGCATCTCTGGTCTCACCCCAAGTCCTGATCAAGAGGGAATGCTGGTCTGGCCCTGTGGCTTAGTGGTTAAGGGGGCTGGATCCTACCAACTGTAAGATTTGAATCCTGAATATAGCAGTTTGAAAAACATGCCGGGCATGGCTGTGCGCATGCCTGATATCCCAAAAGGAGGGAGAAATGGAGGAGAAGGGATTGCTGTGTGACCATGCCCTACTGGGGGTTACCCTCTCCCTCTTTCTCTCTGGTGAACACATGCATGCTGTGGTAAATTATAAAAGAAAAGATGGAACAGCAGATGGCGTAATGGTTACGTTGTTGGACTCCCACGTAGTCAACTGCAATTTCAAGTCCCCGACCTGGCAACTTCAAACTCACATTGCATGCGCGTGCGTGTGTGCCCAAAATCCAGAGTGGAAAATGGAGGAGCAGGGATTATGGTGTGACCATCCCCCCTGGGCGGGTGATCTCTCACTTTCTGTCTCTCTGTCTCTCACTGTCCTTCTGGTGAGCTCACACACCCTATGGTAAAAATCTCTAAAGGGGCAAGTGCTTTTCCAATATTCTTTTCTTAAAAAAATTAGTTTATTTAACTTTATTTTTTATGTATTGTAATTTGACTAGAGAGGGATGGAGTGAGAGAAAGAGGGAACGTGAGAAGGCAAGCTGCCAGTTCAGGGACTCGAACTGTGGTTTGCCATGTGGGAGTCCATTGCCCTTAACCACTATGCCACCTGCCAGCCCCTCAATATCCTTTGAGCTAATAAATGAAACCCATCAAAACTCACTGTTCACCCTGAGATAGAATAGATTTATTAGCAAGAGGTAATCAGGAAACATATATTTTTACAAAAATGGAAATTTCTTTTTTTTTTTCTTTCCAAACGAGCTGTAAGTTGAAATAGTTTAGGACTTGAAATAGAATTCTCATACCACTAGGTATTGCTTACAGCAAAAGTTGTCTGTTTGTTGTAGTGGAGCATGCCTGCCACTGCAGAGTTAACCTGTGTTTTCTATACTGTACAATGTAAAAAATACATGGTAATATTCACAGAATAAGCACTACGTTACTATATTCCTGCTAGAAGGCATTTAGACAGGACTACAGTATATGCAATAAAAACACTCGGTTATTGAGTTCCTAATTCTACTGTGTGGTACTAATTATCACGAGGTATACGGACTGAGCATCTCAACGTAAGCTTGTAGTGACCGTTGGCGGCTGAAAGAAGTGACGTTTCTGTGTTCCCGACCTCCAGTGAGTGCTAGGTGGCGGCCAGCCAAAGTCGCTGCGACTCCACTCGGTGTTAGGACTTGGTTTTCCTCGGGCAGTTCTGGGGCCTCCTCTGGTTTCATTGAGACTGCTATTCCTACTACCTGGTGGGGATCCTAGAGCGAGGAGCGACGTGGTGCCTGAACGAGGTGGCAGCATGGTTCCAGGGGCGTGGTCCCTGGTGGAGAAGGCTCCCTGCCCTCCAGGTTCCCGGGAGACGGATGGGGCGTGTTGAGACCTGCGATTTTGGCTGAGAAAGCTGCTTCGGAAATTGGCGTGACCATCAGCGGGAAGATTTGTCAGTGACTGACTTTGGGGTCTGGTTTTCCCTCTCCCGCCTCCTAGAGAATGGAAAAGGGATTTCAGCATGATCATCACCCCAGGGAGTGATTTCTCACTTCTCCCATCTTTCCTCTCTCCAACAAGTACATATGCCCTATAACAAGCTAAAAAAGGAGAGGAGGAGGAGGAGGGGGAGGAGGAGGAGAGCTGTTTGAAAGAACCAGGCACTGTGGGAGACCAGGGGCGGGTGGGGGCAGAGTCTCAGACGGTGCAGAAATTCATATTCCGGTTCTACAGGAATCTAAGAACAAGAACGGATTTGTTTTCTTGGAGAAGCACATACTGAAGAGGAAGATCCAGAGAAACCAAACGAATATGTACAATATCATAGAGCATGTGTCCGGGGGAGCGTTGGGTCTGGGCCAGGGCCAGCTTCAGGTGGGGAGTTTTGGTTCTATTCGGAGAGAAGACTCGTAGAGGCTTTCTTCATCCATTACGAAAGACTGGTCCAGTAAATACTGGGTTACCTTCAGAGAATAAGAAGGAAAATCGAGAAAACAGACTGGTCAGCTGATGGGACCCCCATGATGCCATCACTGTGGATAGCAGGCGTCTTCTCGGACCAAACATTTTTTTTTTCTATTGCCACTGGGCACATATATGAGAGCAAGAGAGAGAAAGCACCCACCAATGGGGCACGGTCACACCATAATCCTTTTCCCACCATTTCTCCATTCCGTCGGGATTTGGGGCACACGTATGCCAACATGTTTTCCAAGCCCCTGGGGCTAAGATTCAAACTATGGTCATCAGGTGGGATCTGGCTCCCTTCACTGCCATGCTACAGGTTGGCCTCCAGGGATTCACGTCACCAAAAATGCACTTGGTAGCACTAGGTCCTAATATAAGTTGTCTTGGTATTATAATCTAATATTGTTTTATTTCTTCAAGAATTATTTTATTTAACTTTATTTATTTTAAGCACAGAGTAAGAGTGAGAGTGAGAGAGAAAGAGAGCGAGAGAGGGAGAGTGAGAAAGTAAGCCGCCAGGTCCAGGACTCGAACTGCGGTCAGATAGGTGGGCGTCCAGCACCCTCAATCACCATGCCACCTGCTGGCTCCTGTTCAATCCTTTTTTATATTAACATTAAACCACCTATGGTCAAAAGGGTGCTTGACTGGTATTTCTTTATTTTTGAGCTTGATGACGTGTTTTGGGCTCACATTTTAAAAAAAGAATCTAACATGTCCATCTTAGTAATGTCTGGGTGGCAGGTGTATGGGTGATCACAATTCGCTCACTGATGTTCCTGAAGATGAAAGAGGTTTCCTAATACAATGTTGGGACAAATATGTTCACGCCATAGTAACAGGAGACATTCACCCTAAGAGAGGCAGGCAGCGTGAAGGAGGAATCTTCCTTATATGGCTTCAAGTGGCTTGTTTTGGGACAATTTCTTTCTTTCTTTCTTTTTTTTTTTTTTTTTTTTTTTTTTTTTTTTTTTTTTTTTTTTAAGATTTTTGCTATAAGATGCATGTGCTTGCCAGACAGACAGGCACACCCAGTGAGAGGGAAAGTGAGAAATCACCCCCTCTGGGGGGATGGCCGTGCCACAATCTCTTCTCCATTCTCTTTCTACGATTTTGGGCATACATGCACACATGGTTGGTGTGTTTCAGGCTGCCGGATCTGGGTCTTGAACCCTGGCTGGCCATGTGGGAGTCCAGTGCCTTAAACACCATGCCACCTATTGGCCCCACTTTGGGGCAACATTTTAGGAGTGGAAAATCAGAAAAATTCATGTGTATGAGTTAGGTTATTCTCTTTCCCCCTCCTTTCCCACCTGGCTTCCACTCTGCTATGGTTTGAATATATCCCCCTAAACTCACGCACTGATGCTGGGTGTGTGTGCATGCATACCCAACGTCCTGATGGGAAAGGGAAATGGAGGAAGAAGAGTTGGGGTATGACCATGCCCCACTAGGGGGTTCTCTCTCGTGAATGCATGTACCCTGTGGCAATAAAAATATTTCATGTGTTGAAATTTGGTAGTGATGGGATTAAGAAGGTGTAAACTTGGGATTGGCAGATGACATAATGGTTATGTTGCTGGACTCCTACATAGTCGACCAAGGTTTGAGTCCTGGACACAGAGGCTTAAAACTCACACTGGGCTCGAGGTTGGCAGGTGGTGTGGTGTTAATGTACTTCCACAGGGCTGACCACGGTTTGAGTTCTGGACCTGGCGGCTTGCTCTCTCACTTTCTCTCTGTGGACAAATTAAAAAAAAAAAACCCTAATACTAATAAATAAAATAAAATAATTCTTTGAAAACAAAAACAAAAACTCATGCCAGGTGCATGTGTGTGCGTGCCCAAAATCCCCAAAGGAGAATGGAGGAGAAGGGATTGCGACATGGCCATTCCCCTGGAGGGTGATTTCTCCCTTTCTGTTTTTCTGTCTCTCTCTGTCCAGCGAATGTACACACCCTATAGCAAAAATCTCTCTTCAAAAACAAACAAAAAAAGGAGGCGCTGGCAGGTGGTGTGGTGGGTAAGATGCTGGACTCCCACATGGCCAACCACGTTTGAGTCCTGGACCTGGTTGCTTGCTTTCTCACTTTCCCTCTCTGTTTCTCTGTGTCTCTCTCTGGTCAAATTAAAAAACAGTAGTAATAAAAATGATAAATACAGTTAAATAATTTTTAAAAAAAGAGGGTGTAAACTTAACTCGACTATGGTGTTGAAAGGTGAGGCCTTTGGGAGGTGCCTGGAGTTGGATGAGGTCACTGAGGTGGGACCCCATAGCTGACTTCCCATGGCTTTGCAAGAACGGACACATGGGCGCCCCCGCTCTGTTCGTGCTCTGCCTTCCACCATCATGTGCTGTCTCAGGTCTCTGCAGAGACCCTCACCAGATGTAGCCTCTTGGCTTTGGGCCTCCAAAACTGCAAGTGGAACAAAATTCTATCCTTTATAAACTACCCACAGTGCTCTTCAGTTATTACTGACAGAAAAGTGGCCTAAAACATGCTCCCCAGTGCCTTGCTGAATTCCTGGATGTGCAATAAGAGATCAGAGCTCACATCTCAGGAGTGACCTGTGGGAGGCTGCGAACCAGCCAGTCTGCCGAGGCCATTTTCACGAGTCTCTTACTATTGCCATCTTAGGAAGCCCTTAGGTTTGGATTTCTCAGAGAGCAAACAATTACACAATGACAAAGGCCATGATTGGCTCCCCTTCAAAACCTCACCTTCAAAACCATACTCTGATTGGCCACTGAATCCCTCAGATTTGCATATCTGGCACCTTATGATTGGTCTATAGGACAACCAATCATAACTCACCTTTTAACAACCAATCACTGCCTACCAACATGTATATAATCACTATCTCTGCCCACAATAAAGGAGGACCCTGAAGAGTTTTAACACTGTATCTTCCCCATGTTGTAACATTGCTACTTGTAATATTGCTACGCTTATCCGGCTCTCACTCCTTCCTGAACCTGTTCGACTGTCCTGCCTGGGTTGGGACAGTGGACAAGCTCCAAAAGAGTCTTTCCAAGGCGCAGGTATTCATCAGTTGTTGGGAACTAAAGGATTATTTCCCTTTTCAAAAACCCAGAGAAGAGGGGCAGCAGGTGGCGTGAAGGCTGAAGCACTGGATCCTGTGTGGTTTGAGTCCCAGATCCGGTAGCTGAGAAACATGCTGGGCGCATGTGCGTGTGTGCTCCAAGTCCCCCAATCCACATACATACGTACACACACATACATATATGTGTGTGTGTAGTGTATATACATATACACACATACATAGTATTCTTGGATTTCTTGCTACATTTTAATCTATTTCTTTCAAAACGGTGTTTCCTGGGAACCAGCAGTTAGCGTAATGGCTATGTTGCTGGACTCCCACGTAGTCGACCGCGGTTCGCGTCTCGGACCCGGTGGCTTAAATCTCACGCCGGGCGCGTGTGCGTGCGTGCCCAAGCTCCCGAGAGGAGAATGGAGGAGAAGGGATTGCG